ATTAATGAAAGCAAAGTTGTACGTAAAAAGATAAAAAATTACAAGCAGATGTTCTCTCTATAAAAATTATTAATATAGAAAAAATTTAATAGGATACATTATTTTTTCAAGGGGGGCGTCGGTGGCCGCAACGGTTTAGGCGTTGAGTCGGCGCTCTTCACTGTAAAGTAAAGGTCCCGGGTTCGAATCCAGCGAACCCGACATACTTACGAATGTGCTTTTTTCAAAAAATAATATTTTTTCCACCTATTAATTATGTAACTTTCTACATATTCCATTATAGTATTAAAAACTTTAAAAATTTGCTGCAGTAATTTGTCACACAATTTAAACAAAGAAATACTTTTTGTGACGACCAAATAAGTTTTTATGCTTAAGGTTTTCTTTCAAATATTTATGATTAGTAGTGTCAAAACGTAGTCATAAAAAGTAGTGAGTATACCTTTGAAAAGAATATTTATATAACAAAATTTTCCATGTTTAAAAATTTACAAATAAATTGCAATGTTCGATTGTATGTCGGGTTGAAATGCAGGTCACTGGATTCGAACTCAAGACTTTTACCTTACTGTGATGAACCTGCTTCCAGGTAAAGTTAAGATAGAAATTCAATGTTTCAATTTGCGGAGTTGTTCTATTATTTTGTATTAATAAATTTTTGGCATAATCTTAAAGGAAGTTACTTATTACATTCCCTAATATATATAATACTATAATTATATATATTAGTAATACTTATCCTTACAATAATACTTATACATACCTAATATTACAATTATATTGCAATAATACTTATACGTACCTAATGCTTATTACATTACCTAATATATTACATTATAATACATATAATTATTGTGCATAGTGCATGATGCATTGATGTATTTAATTAAATTAATCATTTATGTGAGGAAAAGATAAACATTCGTTACTATTATAATCCGTAGAATTTGTCAAGATTCACTCAGAGTTTTAAGTATGCGCTTGAACTTTTCAAAAGTACTTAAGATAAACCGTATCGGCGGACTACAGCCGAGTAATTTAAATGCTTTCCCTGCCCCCGTGAGATATGTTGTTCCTTCAATTTATGGGGCAATGCATTTTTGATGATGCCCGATAGAAGACCAGACCGTACTTAGTATTACCAATGATTCGTTGTTCATGTTTAACGCAATTCAGAACATCAACTTCTACCATTAAGGGTTAAAATTACCAAGATATGAGATACAACAACATACATTACAAGATAAATCTGTGGTGGTATGCGCCTCGTTGTGCTTATATACATGTGGGGTCAAATGACCCTCCGACCTGGTCATACTTCGTCCGTTCCATTTACATACTCTGCCACTCTACATAATATATATGCCCTTAACGAAGAGAATGAGGTACATTGGCGAAACGGTTATTAAACCCTCGGTAATTGTGACCCGGCAAATTTCAAACCGGATGTAATAGAAATAATTCATTCGGCCAAAGCAAAGAGGAAAACCTAGCTATAGCTATCAGACAAAGTAATATCAATATTATAAATATTAAAAATTAATTCAATTAATTAATCTTTATGTAAGGTATTGATTGAGATAAAAAGTCAGCTGGAATCGAACCCACGATCTTCCTCTAGCCGAAGGTCGTGGGTTCAAATCCCGATCGTGACGCTGAATTTTTTATCTCAGCCAATATCTTACATAAAAGTTATATTTATTCTTGTACCAATTAAATCAATGTAGATAATGCTTTTACCTTAGTCGATAAATCAACCATAAGCCTAATAATGTAATAAAAAATAGTTCGAATGATGTTTCAGTTAGTTATACGTTCCATTCAGAATTTGTTGATTAATTAACGTTTTTCTTTCCACCATATGGCTTTAGAAATTAGGTAAAATAATTAAAATTTATTTATTATTTATTAAATTTAAATTTATATTTGAAAAATTGAGTTTTCAAAAATACACATCAAGCTACTTAAAGAGAAATACATTCCTTAAAATGAATTGACTTTTCTTCTAAGAAGGAACCTTAACGAGACCTTTCTCCATGGTTCTTGTCGCAATTTTTCAACGGATGATGGAAATGGAAACATGCCAGCCCTTGGAAAGCTTTTGGGTCGAGCCCCTCCATCTTGCGCCAATTCCTGACGTGTTAATTGTCGAGCTAAGTATTCAAGCAAAATCCAGTGGACAGGAAATACATCCGGAAAGCTTTGAATACCGCAATACTACAGATAATTAAACAAGATGTAGCAACAACTAAAATGAACAATGAGAAAATTAAAAATAACCTAAAAGAAGAAATGATAAACTAATTTCCTTTTACATACGTGTTTCTGTACAAAAAAGATGCTTTTATAAAAAAAAACTAGATACTTGCAATTACTATCATTAATAATGAAACAACTTCATCAACTAGGGATAGGGATAAACGTGGCGGCCACAAGACCTACTGAACCTCGACCTGAATAGATCTATTGTGCTCCTCTGTTAATTACACTGGCCAGCTTCAGGTTATTAACCAGCCTCTACAGCTTTGCCAGCTGCTCCTTAGTGTAGGATCTTGTATGTGGTTTTTCTTGTCCTAGTTGCAAGAACCGCACCTACAAACCCTTCACAGAAACATAAAATGTGTTCTGCCGTCTTCTCCTCTTCCAAGCAGTATGCTGTGTGTGTTTTCTTCTGTCTGTACTTCTAACCGGTGCATGTGCTGTCTTAAGTGGCAGTGTCCTGTCAGGAGTCCAACCAAAATCCTGATTCGGTTGCGGTTGCCTTCCAGTATTTTTTTGTAATTTTTGCGGATGGTCCTTCTATGAATCTCTTCGCGGGCCTCATACCTGTGGTATTGTTCCACCAGGTTTTGGACTCATTAATAATCCATTTTAAAATGTATCCTCTTTTGTGGCAGGCTGCTAGGCTGTAGTAGGGTTCTGGGCCCAGAGAGGCCATGTTGGTTCCCTTTTTGGTCAACATGTCAACCTTTTCGTTGCCTCTAGGTCCGATTGACCAAGGACCCATGCCAGGATCAGGTCATTAGTGTCGCTGACTTCCGTCAGGGCCTCCATGCAGTTCCAAACCTCTTTGCCATCGCCTCGTGTGAGGCTAAGGCCCTGAGTGCTCCTGGCTGTCAGAGAAATTGGCTATTTTCCCGGAATGTATTCCTAGCCTTTTTATTTCTCTAGCACTTTGTCCAAGACCCCAGCTTCCGTACCCTTTTCGGTTTTGGGGCCGCCAGTATACCAGTAGGAATTTTGCCTTTAGTGGTGTTCCTTTGGCCCATTCTTCCCGTTCTGTACTTTGCACTTCTTGTAAACGTTGTACTTTGGAGCAATGGCATCAATTGACATACCTAGAATGGCATCTGGAGGAGCATCATCTCCTCCCTCGGTTTCCATTGTTTATTTACATGGCCTATCCTAGCCGATCGTTGTGAATTTATGAGCAGCGGGCTTCTGCTCCGGCTTCTCTTTCGATTAAAATCAACTTCATCATCTGAAAAAAAATCTTTTTTGAGGAAATACATCCTTCGATGGTTTACGATGGGACACTCCACTAAAACGGGGAAGTTGTTTTCCATTTAACTTGAATTAGGAACATTTACAGATAACATTTGTCACCCAGGGCACGTAAATAAGATTAAACGCCTTTCTTCGAACATTAAAAAAATTACTTTACCTCTAATTCTTTTCTTTTTCTTTTAGGGTCCGACTTCTTAAGGGTGGGTATATTCATTATGTTTAGTGTCTGATTTACCGAATTACTTTTTCAATTAATTATTCTTTGTTATGTAAGGTCTTGGTCGGCCAGCCGAAGGTCGTGGGTTCGAATCCCGCTCGTGACACTAACGTTTTCATTTCAACTAACACCTTACATAAAAATAATAATTAATTGCAGGTAAGTATACTGTTGTGCAAGCAGTTTTAGGTAAAGACATGATTTGAAATTTCGTGAAGATTTTTAGTGAAGAGCATGTCTAAAGCGTGAGATAGTTTTGGTTTCGTACCACATATATTTTCCTTTTTCTCCAAGTTATCTCGAAGCTGCAACACAGTAGAATATTCACCATCTGTAAAACTCTGGTAAATTCTTATGCGGTGAATATTCCGATTATAACAACAAATTATGTCCAGGCTGTCCCCTCCAAGCTGGAGGCAGGAAAGCGAGAACGGATAGTTCAGTCTAGCCTAGGCATTGGAAAACCAATAAGAAAAAATCCAGCTGAAACCAGTGAAATCAGATTTATATCCACTTTGATTTTTATTAATATAAATTATTTCTGTTGCGTGGCACATTTTCATTTATGGTTTTTTGTTTGGTATTTTCCATTTTGGTTATCAAGGTTGATTATATTAATTTTCCCCTCAGGCCCATATTATTCCCATAGTATCTGATTATTCTTATATTGTTAGTTTGTAAGCAAAGGTTCATGTTTTGTTGTTTTATATTTTTTATATAACGTATCTTGATTCATAAGGAAATGCATTTTTTGTTTGAAAAGAAACAAAATAGAGGTGCCCCTCTGCAATTGTGTTCATAATTTATTTCAAACCAAAATTCCTTTGATTTTGAGGCAGATCACCGGCCTCAAGTGGGTTAATCAAACCTTAAAAGACGGAATATAATCATTCCTTTAAGGACTCACAATACGATATACCAAATTTACTGGCATTACGCAATATGCTGTCTTGACGCATCGTCGCCAAATTTCGTGAGCCTCAAGGTATCCAATGGGTTCTAGATGATTCTAGCAATCAGACCAATGCCGACAGTGTACACGAAAACATTTCTTTTTATATGGCCAACTTACACCCTCTATTAAATACTTCCAAAAATTGATACCGAATAGAAAAAATAATAGAGGTTTCACTATACACTCATGTTTGATAAAAGTCATACCATATCGAAGCTTCCGTGTTGTCATAGTACTTTGAAATGCTTCTATCTTTGTTGATATACATAAAATAGAAGATTTTAAAAATAAGGTACATATTTACTAATGTATATTTTATAGATCATCATGCTGCAGGTGGACTGGTGATTGAACTGGTGATTCCAGCTGAAGATTTCTGGGCAGAATGATGAGACGGTTGGTACGACGCGATTTAAATTGGAATTTCATGCATATCGTCCGAGTTGCAGTTGAAGCGGATCCTGATCGTAAGGAGATTGTACTATTGGCGAACCCTCACGCGTTTACCTGGGAATAAGGACTTTCGGGTCCGAAATCGTAGGCGACTCGGCGGAATCCAGCGTCGTAGCAACGGCTATTCTCTTGTAATTCTAAATTGAATGAAAAAACGTAAATTTTGGAAATAAATAAACTGTTTTCAGAAAATACGAGGGTTCAGAGAAATCTTGAAACTTTAAGAGCAAAACTGCGGGAAAAGATGGACGGGGAGTGGATACAGGAATCACTGATTATTGAAAAATTTGTTGAAATGTTAATATCCGTTGTATTTGTAAAGTTATAAAGTGTTTAATTTACCATGTCCATTTTCATATTGTTTAATTAACATTTATTTAGAAAATTGCCGTTAACTTATAGGAAACTGTAGGAATATTGTGATAATAAAGTGTAATCATTTAACGTTCCTGTTCAAACTGATTCAAACTGATAAATTTCTTCCGTTATGGTAAAGTTGATATGAACTAATCGTTTGAATTGATTGCTCAAAGTTGGCTTCATAATTACGTACGAGCTGAAACAATTTCCTTAGATTTCTAGGTAGGTGAACACGGAAACTGGTAAACGAGGGAATAGAATAGTGACAAAATTGGCAAACTTTGGTAATAATGCCTGTTCTTCGTTGGTGTTGGCGGCATGGAATCGATTTTCAAGCCGTAAATTTAAATCGGAGAAAAAGGACAAGCTTAAAAACGAGGCTCGTCACAGATTGTATGGATCGTTTTGTCAGTTCGCCGCAACTAATGACATTGCCTCGGTTTTTTTTCTGCGGGATCTCCCATTAATAATATGCAACAGGTTAAACCGTCGGCCGTGACCGAGTGGTTGGGAGGGTCCAGAATGGTTTCGCTGTTTTAATTGGGGGGGGGGGTTAACTTCGTACCATCCTTTATGCAACCTTGATTGTAAAACACAATTTTCAGATTAAAAGAAAATTACCCAGGTGAAATGAAGTTTGTTTTACTTGAAACAACCTCCATGATGGGAAATGAAATCTGCATCTAGAAAAAAAGTTCAAACAAGAAGATTAGAAAAGATGTTTAGCTTTTCCATTGTTTTAATCTTAGGTTTTAATTGAATAGGAATTAAATTAAAGAAAACGAATTGTACACCGGTAAACAAGACTTTTCTTCTTCCATATTTCATATAAGACCTTGTAATCGGACTTTATAGAGCTTTAAAAAATTAATTTCATCGCAACAATAATTTTTAATAAAATTCAACCATGACTTACAACATTACATCATTGTCCTTTTAAGGAATGTTGGGCATTTCAACACGATACACAAGAATGGTACAATTACGCAGAAAACAAACACTTTGATCCCTGAAGATGATCTCAATAAAGATCGAAACGTTGGTACGATAAAAAAAACGATTTTCTAAAGCCTACGTCACACAGACTGCATCTCACGATCTCCGAATAATAAATTTATTATTTACATAGTGCTGTACTTATATTTATCTTTTAGCTACAGTTCTTTTACTATGCTGTCAAGACAGTTCAACACATTGAGGATATGCCGACCAGGAAGTTCGCTAAAACTAAATTATATATTAATTACCACACACGGAATAATATTATTTTTAATTTATTTAATTGTTAATTTTTAGCAGGCGAATAGATATTGTCAAGCAGGTGCTACTCTTTATTTTCGTTCATATTTTTTGTGCTTTTGCTTGTACATTCGACAGCTTTCAGCGACAGCCCTTTTAAGGGCGATCTACCAACTTTTTACTGAAATGTGGGACACAAAGGAGATGGAGAGTGTTTCTCGACTGAAGTCTCCCCGGTCACGTTGTTAAAGGTCCTAATGCAATAAGTATTATATTGTATTATTGAGTTGTTTCACATGAAATGCCCGATTTTATAGTTTCAGAAATTCAGAGAGGATATAGAGGTTTTCTCTTGTTCTCTTCCAATTGGTTTACATATTATAATTAATCAGTAATTAATCCTCCACTTTTGTTTATAATGATGATCTCCCCAATCCATTACCCACTTTTTAGTATATCTCCAAATATGGAAACACGCGATTTTCGTGTAATAGTTATAAAATACTGTATATATTTTTTAAAAAAATCTTATAAAATTGTCATGGTGGGGTCAGGATAGTTGTTTCTGGCCTTTTGAGATGAAATAAAAATAACCACAGCAATTAAATACAAATGAACACCTTTTTTTTCTAATTTTTGAAAAAATAAAAATGAACAAAACAGAATAAATTCCCTTTTTTTTAAATTAAAATGAAATAATACAAAATAAGTATCTTTTCTTATTTAAAAATGAACAATACTGATTAAGGCCTTTTTATAAAAAATTAAGAAAACAAAAAAACATTGTGCCGGCAATAATAAAGAAAATAAATTGACAAAAGTGAACAAATGAAAATAAAATGTACTCTGGAGAAGTGATTACCCTGCAGCTCGTTGAAAGTCCAAGGCAAATAGTTTTCGAACTGGTATGAAGCCGGTTGTGCAGTCCGACGTCCAGAAAGATCTCTTCCCTCCGTAAAAAAGACCGCTGAATCCAGAAAACGTCCACTTGTCGTCCCCGGGGAAAAAAACGAGAGCTCAAACCACCAAAAAAGACAAGCCACCTCTCTCGTCGCCACGCGTTTCTCGTCTGCCGGAGCCGCCGCGCATCAAGCGAACTCTCGTGCACTCGCGCTCCAATTTGAAAGTGGTTATACAGTTTAAACTCGGTCATTCGGCAGCTGACATAAGTAATGCGTTTGGTCGAGCCCCGAGAAAGACCTCCAACTTTAATTGACAGCGATATCCTTGAGCTTCAGAAGGAAGAAAAGCTCTATCAAACAGTCAGAGGATTCGCAGCACAACTAACTGCAGGTCCAGCTACCGTGTCAAGAAAATTAAATAACAAGGAAAAATCAAAACGCTTGATCTATGGGTTCCTCATGAGCTCTCTGAGCGACAGCAGTTAAAACCCGTTGAGACATGCGTTTCGTTCTCGCCAGACAAAAACCAAACTTTTCTTGAAAGATTAATCGCTGGCGGTGAAAACTAGATAGCATATGACAATCAGCGTAGGTCGGGGTAGTAGTTCAACATCGACGAAAGACCAGTACCACCAGTAAATAATTTAAATCCCAAAAAATGGATGGTGACCGTATGGTGTTCCATGGCTGGAATTATTCACTACTCCTTTTTGCCTAGAGATGAGGCCATTACATCTATATTGTACACTGCAAGGAAATTGACTAAATGCACAAAAAATTAGTCCAAAAACAGCCTACAATGGTAAATCGGTAAGGTCCTATAATCCTCCACGACAACGCTACGCCCCATATTTCAAAACATGATGAAATATGTTTTTGAATTGAAACAGCTTGAAGTTCGTCTGCATCCACCTTATTCTCCGGCCTTGTCTCCAACAGATTTTCATCTGTTTAGGAACTGAGACAACTTCGTTAAAGGACAATTTTTTGAAAATGATGTTCAAGTTCAAAAAGCGTTTTCATTTCAAGCTCAGAATTTTTCAGTTCGGGCATAAAAAAGTAGCCGACGCGTTGGGCAAAATGTGTAGAAAATGAAGGTAATACTTCGAATAAAATTATTTTGTTTTTATATATTATAATTAACTAAAAATCTTTACTACTGATACGCATATGCAGAAAGGAGTTTTAAAACCTATTTTCAATGTGTGGTGATTAGTGTAGATGTGTAGTAGATTAGTCCATAACAATCTGTACCTTAAACACATAATCAACAGAATAATCAACAACTACAACTCAACACTAACACCATCCACTATTACTAATAATACTACATCAAATCTATCAAATACAAACAAAACAACATACATTTCCATGCCATTCATTCACGACCTATCACCTATACTAAACACTTTTCTCTCGTCCGATAACTTTAAAATAGCTTTCACAAACTATAAAACTATTCAAACACTTTTTCCAAAATTAAAGATCCCGCACCAATAACAAATAAATCTGACGTAATCTACAAAATCAATTGTTTAAACTGTCCAGAAACTTACACCGGTCTTACATCCTAATATCTGGATAAGAGAATAAAGCAACATATCTATGATTGCAAAAAACCCAAGCAAAATCCTACAGCACAGGCTACCCACCATTTTGAACACAAACAAAATTTCGACTTCAGCAATCCAAAAATATTACACACAGAACAAAACAAACATAAACGTAATTTTTTAGAAATGGTTTACATCTACAAAGATAAACACAGCATCAATTACAGAACAGACACATGTAAACTTAGTTGCAGCTACGCCAATATCATTAATCAAATTTAGTATAGATAACATATATATATTATCACATCACATTCCACACATCAAACATTTTTCACATAGTCTAATTTATCAACAATTTAGCTTTCCTTTTCCTATTTATCCCCCTCTATATAATGCTGAAAGGATATCTGGCCGAACCATTACCAACGTTTTTTCCCTCAGAGAAACCCTTTCTCTTTTCAACTCAACGAAGCCGACTTCTTAACAAAAATGTCTTTGTATACCGACTTCCTTCCTCACCCCTTCAAAATCCAATGTTCATAATCATAAAACAGCAATATCTCTCTACTCTCAACACGACATGCAAGAATGGCACAATTATGCAGAAAGCAAACACTTTGAGTGAGTAGAAGTACTTTGATTAAATATAAAAAATATTTTTTTGCATTGTATAAATTCACTTTTTTTGCACATCCTACATGGATTTGTTAAATTTAAAGAATGGTTGTAAATCCCAGGCCCTGAAGATGATTTCAATAAAGATCGAAACGGTGGCACGATAAAGAAAATATGTTTTCTGAAACCTACATCACCCCAGACCGCATCTCACGATTTCCGAATAATCACCTACTCTCAATCTTTCATAACTAATGCCGTAGGGAGTCTTCCTGTCTAGATTTTGTATGTTGACGTATTACACTAAACACATATTACATTATGCATGTGTACAAATTGGAGTATAATTTTTTTTATTGCTGATGATGATTGTCGGTAAACTCTTGCTGAACTATCATAGGGTCGCTTATTGGGTCATGACCCTATGCCGGTTCAGCATGAATTATATTATTTTTTTATCACTCTACAAAAAGTGAACGATTTATCCAACGAAGGTTTGTTTTCGTCATATTCTCGATGAAATGCCCATCTCGGTCCTAAAAAATATATAATGAATAACCAAATCAATTTCATTCCATATTTATTAAGAGAAATTTGTAAAAATTATTTAACGTTAAATTTCAAAGTCAAATTTTTAGTTGTTATGATAGACTTTTTAATTTTGTTTCATTCGTCGTTTATAAGATTTTGACTACTTTATCAGATATAATT